ATTCTCCTGGGTGGTTCCTCAGGGTCTGGCTGTCGAATACCTACTAGTTCAACTCTTGGTTCTTCGACAAGATTCTGTCTAGGTTGTTAAACTTGGTTTATGGTTAGTTCTTCTTGAACCCATATGATATTCTGCCTGCATCGAACAGGTGGTTGGGGGTTCCCAAAGAAGTCTGCTATTCGCACCATATGCGCTGACAACTGTTGGTATGATTGGGTGTTTTCTTGATTGGTTCTGTTTATATTCTGGATTAGGGGAGAAAAAATAGTATTCATTTCCCTCACCAATATTCCAACCATATCTTGGTTACTAGCGTACATTTGTTGTCTAAGTGCTGCCCGGGGTACTTGTTGTTAAAGCAGGCATCTAGGCTGATAGCCCTTGGTTTTGGACGCTTCGACCAATTGAACCAACATTTTGAATCGGCGAAAAAGTACTTATGTTGGGTTGCGTATATGTGGAAGTGCCATTGTTTAAACCACCCATAAATGATGATGAGGGCCCTCCATATGATTGTTCTGTCCAAGGCCTAAAATTTTCGAATCCTTGCGGCCTGGAAGGTGTCGAAGGTGGTACTTGGCCTCCCACATATGTCAAAATAGGGCCATTTTGAGTATTCGAAACAGACTCTGATGTACCCCAAAGGGGGGCACGTTGGTCGTACTAGCCACAAAAGCAATTCCTGTGTAAGGTGGATTCGAATTAGTTGTGGCCATTGATCCTATTGATGTTGGAATGGCCTGGGAACTAGTCGTCGAACTTGTACCGACCATTCCTGATCCTTGTGGAGGATTTTGTCCTCCTTGATCATCAGTTGTGTTAACCATTCTTCTGGTATGTTTTTTCTTAGGTATTGGTTGAGGTTCACTAGTAATTCTGCCACTCCTAAGGTTCATATAACGCTTTTGCGTATTTTACCAGAAAATAGTATTTTAAACCCTCTGTTATGATTACCACTGGTTTTCCCTTAAAACGTTATGACACAGTCCCACCGGGTGTACCAATTTGTTCGCAGTGATTTTGGGCGAAACAACTGCTAGTCTTCTAAACAAATTTGATATGTATGGTTACTTGCAGGATCGACTAGATTGATCTTAGGACATTGTCTTAACGTTAATCGTAACACTTTCTTGAAGGTTTATGTTAAACACGACGTGATACTTGTGCATGTGTTTGTGTACAAGCTTGAAATGCAAAAGACTTCTGAAATTAAATTCAAATGTAAAGGTTTAGACGAAGCGTCTTAATTAAACAAAAAAGGTTTGAATGTAAACACTTGACAATAAAAAGATTTAAGACTGAAATTAAATGACTTGATTGTAAAGGAAAAAGCCTTTTAAAAGGAATTTGATTTATAAAGCTTTGCAGGAAAGTAAAACAATTCGACAGAACATAAAGAATTTAAGAACAATTTCAGGAGTATGTAAAAGAATGGTTCAAAAGAAAGTTATGTTGATAAGTGCAATTCAAAGATAAAATTGTGAGGTCATACGTACATTCTCAACGAAACTCTTTCTCTTTAACTTGGTACTTGAGTATTTTGTGAGTAACTTTGTACGAATTATGACCTCCTTTTCCCTAACACTAAGGAGCTATTTATAATGTTCTAACCATAACGGTATTATTCTAAGAAAAAGCCACGTTGCTTCTTGCATGTCTTTCGACACTCTAAGGCTTCAACGCGTCCTTCTTATCCAAAGAAACTATTTTCGAATTTCAAACAATCCCGCTCAAGCCTTCAGCAACGACTCTCTTATGTGGCCGTCGAAAACGCGCGCCTTTGACCAAATAAAATACTTGTCTTTTCAAACTATCTTCGACTCAGATCCAGTAATAATATATTTTGACTATAGCTCTTTTTCAAGCCATCTTATGGAAATTTAAAATGTAAAGGTTCCTTTATTAACCTGGTCGAAATTCCCAGCTAACACTTTCAAACCGATTTTTGTTGGCCTTAATTCAAAAGCATTTTTGAAGTTATCAACTCTGTTTTTTCTGTTCATTTCAGCCAGTTTCAGAGCTTTGGCGTCCTTCACCCACTGTTTGTATTCCTCTTCAAGTGGAGCAGAGTCGCTTACCTTCTGTTTTCGTTTTGTGGGAGAGGAAGAAACAGTGGTGGAAGTAATGGTTTTGGGGTTAGGGTTTGGAAGAAACGAGGATAGTTGGTGGATGGAGAAACGATATGGCGGTTGTAGGAATAATTTAGAACACGCACATAATAGGAATATGAAGAGAGAAGTGGAGCAGATGAATGAAAAATATAACCGCTATACAGAGGTAGTGGAATGAGGAGAAAAATGCAACCGCTGTCAATGATGACTAAATGAAACAAAATATAAAAAAAAATTAAGATTTAAAATAAACTATTTTCTGTTTTTTAATGAAGTCACGTGATATGTTTTTGAAATAAAAAAACAAAATATATTTTTACGGTAGAATATATTTTTTTATATTATAGATTAACAAAAGAGACTTACAATATTAAATTAAGTTATGGGATTTGAGGAGTAATTATTATGCCTTATTAAAAACATGTGCAAACTTCTATGCCGTCGGGGAAGTCACTGAAAAACCAAGTCTACTGATCAGTAGAACTCATCGGCCCCCCTTCTAATAGCCCTAGCCCGTTCTTCTGAGTTCCATCACGCATCTTCCCGGAGCGCTGTCGCCGTCTCGAAACCCTAGCCCCGTGGCTCACATCTTCTCCATCTTCACAACTTCAATTTAGGTATTCTTATACGTTCCTTGTATTTTAGGTCGTTTTGGGTAATGATGAAGTGTTTTTTTGTGTGCATGTGGTTGTCGGGGAGTGAGAGGCGCACTGATGGTGTGGATTTTTCTGTTTATGTTTGTGGGGTTGGGGTTTGAGGCGTAGAAAAAGAGAATGTGGATGATCTGAATAGCATCATCACGAAGAAGAAAAAGAAGAGAAACACAACAGCAATAGGGTCAGTTTGGGATTGTATTTTTGTGTTTTGGAAATACTGACAGAAAATATGCGTCCTGTGCAGTTATCATATCGGTTTTATTTGAATGGGAATTAGAACATCTATGTGTAAAGGGCGGTTTTGGAAATTGGAAATGTAAATTTTCTATACAGTTAAGTGAATTCTGATAGGATTGTAAGGATCTGTTTATGATTGATTTAAGTTTCTGATGAGATTTTTGCGGTTATTGATTGTGGCTGATATATGCACTTTAAAACATCCAAGACTTTTGAGAATTAGTGTCTTCTAGGTACAAACAAGGGATGAAAGGTTTTGTTAATGCTTGGTTAACTTTTGTATGAACCATACAATTCCTTAAAGATGATTATGACTTCAATTTTTGGATGTTTTGCTCCCTATAATAATTTTAATTATTTCATATCTAAACTATCAGTTCAAACAGTGTGAGCTGAACAACAATGGCAAGTGCACCTGCTGAAATTCCTACAAGCTTTGGACATGATTTGAGGGCCTGTCTTCGTTGCCGACTTGTCAAAACCTTAGATCAGGTTCTTACTTCCCTTCTTTTATCTCATCATTTCTTTCTTTTTTGCTTTCTTATTTTTTATGATTATGAAAACAATCACTGTTTTTTGATTCACAGTTTAGAGAGTCAGGTTGTGAGAACTGCCCATTTTTACAGATGGAAGAAGATCACGAGCGTGCAATTGAATGCACTACCCCCCAAATTTTAATGGGTAGGTCTCGATCATATCTCTTACATCAAAACCCTAATCACCTTTGAAATTTCTTATTGACATTTTGTTTTTCTTCATCAAATTGATTTTCAGGATTATTTCAGTAATGGATCCAACACGAAGTTGGGCTGCCCGGTGGTTGCGCACTGTATATTCATTTATCTTCTGTTACACACTATTATAATTGCGTCTTGCCTTGCTTTCCAGTTTTCCTCCCCCTTTACAATATCGTGATGATAAGTGATAACATTACTTTGTAATATATAATTAGTCACATGCCCATGCAAATGGATGGGCGACAGTCCGGCGAATATTAGCTTAAGTACTAACAATAAAAACAATTATTAAAAATTACTTGAAAAATATCCCGAACATATGCATGATATAACATCAACCACCAATATATTATCAAAGCAAAATTAGGATTCATTATTTTGCATTATAGAAAAGTTGCGACAATAGGTGAAGAAAAAGGTATTGTAAAACACTGTTTGATCTTTATATAATAAAATTATATTTTGCAAGACATTTACTAAACATACATGGATATGTGGTTAATCTCTTCAATAACTTGATATAAAGAAGAATAACATGATCAAACTTGGTACATAATTTGCTCTGAAAAATGCACAGGGAGATGCCAATTTTTTTGTAAATTATGTTCATATGCGTGAGTGCTATATGATTATTTTTATTACAATCTCAATTGTTAATTTTCTACTCAACTGTTATGATGCGTATGTCAAAATAATATTTTATTTTGCAAATCTATCTTCTCTTTGAATTCCAGGCAAATTTTGAATTCACATATATGGACTCAAATTGTTGAGAATTGCAGAGTGTCTCAAAAAAATGAAAAGAATATGAAACTGAACTACTTTTTAGTAATACATCACTCTATGCATTTTCAAAACCCAAAGTGCTTAAAAAAAAGGAAGATAACGTAAAGCATTCACCATTCACTAAAATCTTTTAGAAGTACTCAATGTACACCCAAAAAATGGCCAGGGAAAGCATTCAATATATTGATCCTAGATTTATTAGAATTGTAGTAAAAGCAATATCTTGTAAAATACCAAGATCTTAAACTGCTGTTCAAGAATGTTCTCATTTTTCTTAAGCAGGGACCAAAGGCTTTCAACATATATTATGCAGCATTAGGGGTACTCTATCCAAATATATTGCCTAAGCATCTCAAAAACAATCCCAAAAAGAGAGGATATAATAATACATTTTTTCTGATTCTCTTGAGTTTGGTTTCCCATCAATTGGTCCACCCTGCCGATTCTCGACGGAGAGTTAGTGTTGAGATGAATCACTCAATATGTTCACAAATTAAAAGCTGCCAAAATTTGTAGGGGAACGAAGACTCCATAGGCCGGATCATTAAGGCAGGAAGATTTTTTGAAGAGGAGGAAAAGATCCATTCATCGAATAAACTACAGTGGGCAGTCATGAGAATGGGCGGTGTAGCACTGATTTGGTTTCTGTCTTGGTGCCAAGAGGATTGCGATGAAGACTGGGAGTCATTTTCCACAGCTATGATTAGAAGGTTTGGAGTGCATTTGGAGCACTTGGCTGAGAAGTGGATGCCGACAAACCAAGGAACGAAACTGAACTACGGGGAAAACAAAGGAAATAAGCAGTGAGCCTGGAGTTGGAGGTGGAAAGAGGTTTAAGTATGGCGATGGAGGAACTGATTCTTGGTCCTTTAACAATGGCTAACTAGAATCACTGAGAGCTGGTCCACATGCAGGGACCATTCCACAGTCAGTGGAAACAACCATGCAGATCTGATTCTTGCAAGGGGGAGTATATAAAGGAGGAAATACTATAATAACTAGGGATATTTACATTAGTCGGAGTTCAGTTATGCTGTCACCGCCACTGGGCCTCCAAGGTACCATCCCATATGTGGTGGTTAGTGAGTGCGGCAGAACAGCTGTTTGGCAGTAATTGCCGCAATACATCTATATGAGAATGGGAAATCAACACTTTGGAAGGAAATAAGAACAAGGGTAATGGATAAATTGTGGGTTGGGTCTCATTCTTAACCTGGTGGGTTTAGGGGCTCAAAATGATTCTAGTTAGTGAGAGAAAAATTAAAAAGTGGGTTTGGAGTAGAGCTACCGTAATGCTGGTCAACATGGATGATAGTCCATCTCTTTAAATAGAAGGGCAGACAAGACTCACTCTCATTAAGCCTGACCAGAGTCAGAATGATGGGTTATGAGTTAGGAAATAACGAAGTAACAAATAAAAAGATGGAAAAAAATACTGTAATTGTATTATTACGGATGTACAATTACAGAGAATAGCAATGTT